TCACTTATTTTTCAACCAAAGAAACAAAATTTCTAGTTCTCATTCTATCATGCTTCAGAAGGTTCTCAGCCACTGCACCAAAGCACGTGAGTGAGAGAAATAAAATGAGCCGAAACACAAACACCCAAAGCAGGACTTTTATTAAGGGACAGAACTGCCAGGCTGTCTCGAACAATGGTGAGAACAGCAACCAGGGGTTGGCTGGGTGAGGTTTATAGGGGCTGGGGAAGTGTGGTGGAGGCAGATGATTGGCTATGACTGGGGGCAAGGTGGAAAAGAGCAGGTCTTTGTTCTCTCTGGAGCGACTCTTTTCCTGTAGGCAGGGGCCATTTTATCTAGCAGAGAACTCTATCAGTGAACCCTCTGTCTGTACATTCCACTGCCATTCCTTACCTTTTCCAAGGTAATTACTAATTTCTTCATGCCTTCAGCAGGATGTTGGACATTTCCTGTGTGCATAGCTTTATGCTAGTCCTCACTGGGAGAAACAGATCAAACCAGAGTCCTGCTCTCATGGTGTCATAGTTACTTTTCATTGCTGAGACAAAATACTTGACACCTGGAGTTAACAGGGGAAGGTTTATTTAGCTCATAGTTTGTAGAGGTTTCAGTCCACAGTTGGCTGGCTCCAAGGTAGAGTGGGACATGGCAGAGGGCTGTCACAGAGGAGAAACAGTTCTTTCCATGCAGAAGACAGGTAAAGCAACAAGAAATCTTAACAGCATCTTTCTACCCCTTTTACCTTATTCAGACTACTGGGATTAGGGCAGTGCCAAACCAATCAGTTCACTGGTTTAGTAATCACACGCCCTTAATCCCAGGGTCACACACTGTAGATTCAGCCACCTCTGAAAAAGCCACCTATGACTGCATGAGGGATTGGGGGGACATCTAGATCCACATTGTAACATTGTGCCCCTGGCCCTCCAAAGACTCATGTACATTCTGTTACACAAAACATATTTAGTCCATCTTTAAGAGTTGCTGAAGTCCTAACAGTTTCAGCATTGCTTAAAAATCCAAATTCAAAGTCTCCTCTAAGATTTAATGTAAGTTCTTAGCTGCAAGCCCCTGTATAAATGAAAAGAAAATTAAACATTTCTAACATTCAGTGGCACAAGATAGATATTTCTAGTCCAAAGGTTACAAATAGGGGGATAGCAAGGAATGAGATCAAAGCAAGACCAAAATCCATTAGGGCAAATGTCGAGTCCTGTAGTTCCATGTCCAGCATCCCAGGCAATCTGTGACAAGCTGTGAACTCCAAAGTGTAAGACCGAGGGCCTTACCAAACGCTCCGACGAGCTGACTCCAGCGAAGAACACCCGGGAAGGAACACACTTGACAAGTTGGAAAAGTAAAACAGACCTTTATTAGTGTGGCCAGACGGCACTCTCCAAGCAACAGGCTTAGAGAGGGCCCCAAGTTCAGGGGGTTGGAAGATTTTATAGGGGCTGCAGGGGAGCTTAGCAAGCAGAACTACAGAAGCGGAATTTTTGTGGTTAGGGGACGTTCTGGGGGGCGGTTGTAGATGTTCTTTACTTAGCAAACAGGATGTTCCTTACACAGAAACAATGGTACATTCCTGGTGTCTTAACAGATAAACAAGTACATCCCGGGAACTCTGTGTCCTGTAGTGAACCCAAAACCCACAGGGACAAGATAGACGGGCTGTAACAAGATGGCATTACTTGTGCTAAGTCTCATCTGGGTCTTACAAAAGGGCTTGGGTGGCTCTGCCCCTATGGCACTGCTGGCGGTTGTAGCTCTCATGGCTTTTCTCTTGGGGCATCTCTGCACCCTCCTTGCAGTTTTCCTCAGACCATCCACACTCCTAGCTTCTCCAACCTTCTGGGGCCTCCATTGCACCTTTAGCTTCACACAGCTTCATAAACTGCCCTCTTGGGCACACTGCAAATCCGGGTGAAAGCCTTCCTGATCCCTCAACTCTTGCATTCTGCATGTACCTAAAACCAGCACCATGTGGATTATGCCACGGTCTGCTGCCAGCTGGAGCAGTAGCCAGGCTTCCCTCTCTCTTGGCTGTGGGGGTCCAGGGCCTATGAATCAATTCCTGAGGAACAACTTCCATAGGCTGCTGCCATTGTGGAACAGGGTGCTCTGGGGCTCTCTTCTCAAAGCAAAGTCCTTCACTTCTGCAATTTTGAGGCTGCAAAGGGTGGAGTCCTGCTGCTACTTGTGATGCCCTCAGGCCACCTTTTCTATTCTTTTGTTCCTTCTCAGTAATCAAGATCTCCTCTGCTCTATCTTTGCCACTGCATCTTTACTGGAGCTTCCTTTCTGGCCAAACTCAAAATGTTTTAAATCATTCTACTGGGCTCTTTGCTCTTGATTTTCAACATAAATCTGCCTAAAAGCCCCCAACAGTAGCCATGCCACAGTCTCAACATTAACCTTGAAATTTCTTCTGCCAGATTATTAGTCTGCTACCCTTCATCTCAGTCTCAGGCAAAGTCTCTTGACATGAGCAAAATGCAGACAAACCTTCTGCCAAGGTGTAACACACATCATCTGGAGTACAACAGCCAATACAGTCCTTCTTCACAGAAGAAACCTGCTGAGCTTGGTCTTCACCAGCTTTCTGGTCTTCCAAGCTCTGAGCAGAATCTCCCATGCAGGACAGGCTAAGGTGTTCCAGCTCTACATTATCAGCGGGCCTCTCCAAACCTTCCCTAACTCTTCCCCTTCCCACAAGCCAGTTCCAAAGGCTCTTAAACCACACCTGGTACCAAATTCTTAGTTACTTTTCTTGTTGCTGAGACAAAATATCCAACACCCAAAGTTGAAAGGAGAGAGGTTTATTTAGCTTACAGTTTGTAGGGGCTTCAGTGCATAATCAGCTGGCTCCAAGGCAGGGTGGGCAGGGTGGCACATGGCAGAGGGGCAATAGTTTATGGAGGACAGAAGGTAGCAAAGGAACAAGGTACCTTAACAGCATCTTTCTGCCCCTTTTATCTTATCCAGACTACTGGGATTAGGCAGTGCCACACTCATCAATGGACTGATTTAGTAATCATACCCCCTTAATCCCAGGGTCACACACTCTAGATTCAGCCACCTCTGAAAAAGCTCTATGACCTATGACCACATGAGGCTTTGGGGGGACATCTAGACCCACACCATAACACATGGACCAGGGAAAGACTTTTATCGGGAGGCTGTTTCTTCAGTAAACCAACTAAACTAGGGTAATGATGGTGGCAAAGTAGAGATAGGGCATATTCAGAGATGATAGCAGTGTATATGAAACAATAAAGCTGTGTGAAGAAAAATATGGTATGAAGAAGAGGAATCGGGTCCTTATAGAAGACAAAGGATTTAGATCTCCATAGTAACATACAATTTGATGAAACAATTTAGGCTGAGATCATATTAAGGAATTTGAATGTCTTATATTTGTATTTTTCAGGCTACTCTTGGTTTCTTAAAGTACTTTTTTAGAAAATCTTTCTGAAACAATTGTCTAATTATTTACAGACAAGTAATTCAGAGAACTGATGATACTTTTTCAAGAGCAAAGAAGTTTCACTAACCTAGGCTTAATAAAAATACAATGAATTTGTGATAGAATTTAAACATCATTCTCTTCAAATAAGTGAATTAATAGGTTATTTAGGTTATTTGAAGAAATAGATAAACTAATAGAATATGACTTTCTTCTACCTTCTCATGAAGATGTAGAATGTACCCAAAATATTAAGTAATTTATAAAGAAATACAGTTTTTTACCTGAATGACATTCAAAATGAAGAATTTGAAAGTCAGCCACAATCTATTACACTGTTTAAGATTGCTTTAAAAAGACCATTCTTCACAAAACAAAGATACAAGCACAAATCAATAGCCAGCTTTCATGAAAGGAGTATATTTTAGGATGTAAAATGTTGCCAAAACAGTATTTGAGGGGCAAACCACCATGTGTGATTCCATTAGGTTCTTTTTCTCCACTTAGTTTCCTTCTTTTCATTCTGTCCCTCTGTCAGTTCTTATTATCTGATGTTTGCTTATTTGTATTTGTGCCATTTGTATCTTTGCTGTTGGCACCTTGTATGTGATAGCTAGTGATGATCTTGTTTTTGTAACTCTTTCACTGCTTGACTCCTCCCTGCACTGTGAGCACTCTGAGGACGGTCTAATGTTTCCTGGATCCCGGATAAGGCTAACTCCAGAAATGATGGTGTCTCCTCACAGTTGTGCAATTATAATGGGATGTGGGGGTGCACTCTGGGAGGCTGAGGCAGGAAGACTGCAAGTTCAAGGCCAGCCTGGGAAACTTAGTGAGACCCTGTCTCAAAATAAAACATAAGAAGAGTTAAAGATGTGTGTATTCCCTGGGTTCAGTCCTCAGTACCACATCAAAAAAGGATGATTATGACAGACATTTTTAATTTTAAAATTTAATGTATTCCATACGCTTTTCTGTAAAAAATTAAGTACAAAAGCAAATTTTAGATCCCTGCAGTCATCACCAGCTTTGCCAGTGCTGTTAGCCTAGCTGGTACACACCAGGAGGCCCTGAGCCCATGGCCCTCATTCCTGGAGTCCTCTGTAGGGCCGCACAGGGCTACCTTTCTGCAGATCTAGTCCTGCCTCATGGTACTTGGGATTTAGACTTCACTCCCGTTGCTTTTAAAATAGCCTTTACCCTTAGTTCCTTATAAACTGTGTAAAACCTGGCACCTTTAATGTCTTCCAGAGGATGGGAAAGGACAAGTGGACTCAGTGCCTGCCCCTGCCTCACTGAGAACAGCTTTTCTTCTCTTTCAGCTCCTCTTAGGATTTTAAGGGAGAGGAGGATTCTGGGATGGTAGCTATGTGTCCATACCCCACAGAGGGAGGGGAGGGGAGGAAGGGAAGGTGTGGTTTTTCTCTGGTTGAGTGGGTTTGTGGGCCACTTTGAGCCAGGGCCTCCACCCAGCCCTGTTTCCACCACTGTATCCAGGGCCTGCTGTGAAAGCCTGCTCTTTCTTTGCCCTCAGCCTCCAGAGCTAAGCTCAGCATGATCAACACCATGTCGAAAATCCGTGGCCAGGAGAAGGGGCCGGGCTACCCGCAGGCAGAGGCCTTGCTCGCAGAGGCCATGCTCAAGTTCGGAAGGGAGCTCGGAGAGGACTGCAATTTCGGTAAGCAGTGCTCCCTTGCTTTTCCATTCTTTGGGCATCGCTGGGATTGCAGTGCGGGCAAGAGCTCTACAGGGAGCTGGTGAAGTTCTCTTTATCTGAGACCTGGTTTGGGATCTTATACATTTGGGCCCAACATTCGCTTTTAGAATTTTAGAATTGCTTCATCATTTTTAAGGTGATTTCTCTTAGGAGTTTTTTTTTTCTTTTCCCTGATGAACTCCCAGTCCTTATTCCAGCTTTGGCTTGCCCCCCGCTTCCTCAGCACCCTCTGTTGGATGTGCTGGCAGGAAGTGGGTTTGAGGCAGAATGAGCAGTCAGCATTGCAGCACCCTGCCACCCCAATTTTCTCGTACATCTCTGCTTACTCGTATGTAGGCCGCGATTCCATGCTACAGGTGAGCCATGTTTGTTCCCTCACCCGTCTCCTCTGACATGCAGTCACACGCTGGACGTCTTCCATCTCCATCCCCTCATGATGTAAGGTCTCAACAAATGATTGTCTTCTTGGTTGAACCTTACTCTTTATTCCTCGTTTTTGCTTTTGCTAAACACAGTGAACTGAAACTGGTCCTACATAGGGCAAGCTGGCTCTTGCAAGGGAGGGCAGAGAGCCTGTCAAATTATTTTTAAAGGAAAAAGAAAACATTGCATTTTTGATAACAAGGAAATTCCTTCTTAGGAGGGGCACTGAATCTGGCTCCCAGAAGGAACTGTGTACACGGGAAGGACACCATTCTCTGGGGTGCTGAGAATCCCCTCTTGTCCGTGTTGTCTTCAGATGAGTGCCTCCCCTGTGATTCCATCTGCAAAGGCCCTTTTATTACAAATGCTGCCTGTCTTTGTTCTTTAAGGCACAGGAGCTTCATTCTCTCCCTCCAGGTCCAGCCCTTGGTGATGTGGGGGAGGCCATGAGGGAGCTGTCTGAGGTGAAAGACTCGCTGGACATGGAAGTGAAGCAGAACTTCATCGACCCACTTCAGAATCTGCATGATAAAGATCTGAGAGAAATTCAGGTATGTGCAGCGAGTACTCTGCAAAGCGAGCAGCTAAGTTTGTATACACGCAGGTGCTCATGTTCTTGAGAAAGCGTTTTCTAGTTTAGTGTTCACATTGATTCACATTGATTGCAGTGGGTAAATGAATTGAGAAACAGCCTCTCAAGACTAGGAGAAACCAGAAATACAGCCCCCACAGGCACTGTGTGCCTTTCCTCTCGGAGTGTTGGGTGGACTTTAGGAAATGTCAGATTGGTGATATCCTTTACATGCAAATGGGAAATTCTGTTAATTAGAATGATGTGCTGGGCTGATGCCACAGCCTAAAATGCTAATTGTACTATTTGGTAGCTTAAATAAATAGTTATTATATCACTCTTAAATCTATATTTTCATAATGATTGTTGAGATTAAGGAAGAATAGCTAACTACGCTTTTTCTAAAATACAGAACAGTTGAGCTATTTATAATAAATGAAGTTCAACTGACTGTCTCCAACTGGGTGTGTAATATTTGCTCATTCATTTATTCAACAAAAATTTGTTGAGTTTGTCTGAACTTGATTTTGTTGGCTGATAAATGGCCTGACATACTTGAACTCATCATTCTAGCTAAAATTGTCACTTGGTAAGTGGGAGACTCACCCTAAATCTAAAATGTAGCTCAAGCCCAGCGCTCTACCCTAAAGTTGGCTGTAGGTTCACATGTTTTAGGTGTTCTCTCCAAAAGAGGAGATGCTCAGTTTGGATGAGGGCATGGGCTAGGGGCAGGAGATGAGGAGGCAGGGAGTGTGCAGGATAGTGTCCATCCTCTCTTCCCTGTTGGCCCTTTGTCACTCCTAGGTGTTTTCATCTCCTTCCCTTTTGCTCCATATACCCAGGAACAAGGGAAAATCCAGCTCCCCCATCCCCCACCCCATTAGTATCAGAAGACCACAGCTCTCGGGAAAAAATACTTCTTGACTTTGGGAAACTACTTTCCTACCCGGCCACCAGAGATGATGGGCAGAGGTTGGAGACCCTTCCTCGGAGTCCACAGGGCACTGGAGCTCAGCGTGGACTGTTAGACAAGGTCCTTTCCAAGCCCGCCCCTGAAAGTTAGCTTTGTGATCCAGCTGTATCACTGTCACGGAAGGTGGAGGCAATCAGGGGTTCCAAGGCTTGGCCCTGGATATTTCGATTCAGTGGTTAGGAATTCATATTCTCAATAAACAACTTAAGTGATTCTTACAGACTGTATGATTCAAAAAACAATGAGTTCCTTCTCTCTTTACTTCAGGAAAGGCATGTTTTCCCTCTGCTTTCCCCGAAGGTGAGAATGAGGGCTCCGTGAATGTGTGAATCAGTGTGCTTAGTGTGCACAGGCGTTCCCTTCTTACCATCCAACTCAGCTGTGGCCTGGCAAAGCCAGACAATAAAGGTCACTGACATCTCCCACAATTTCTTTCTCATGCTTAATTTTTTTTAAAAGATGTTTCCCCACACTTAGTCTTTGGAAGTATTTGCCTTACCGATGCACATTTCTTCACTGCTCAGATGACATGCTATTTTAAAGCATTCCCTGTCTTATTTCCAAGGCTCATAGATGATGGAGAAGTGACCCACAAGAGACGTTTCCTAAGTCCTTTGCAGCACATTCTTGTCCTTGACTCTTTCAGCATCATCTAAAGAAGCTGGAAGGTCGACGCCTGGACTTTGATTACAAGAAGAAACGACAAGGCAAGATTCCAGACGAGGAGCTTCGTCAGGCTCTGGAGAAATTCGATGAGTCTAAAGAAATAGCCGAGTCGAGCATGTTTAACCTCTTGGAGATGGATGTGAGTGACTCTCCCATGGTTTTTAAATTTAATTTTATCATGGAAGCACAAAAATAATGTGTTAAAAATACATCGTTAAAATGTTAATATCAGATTATACTTTGTGATAGGAGCATATATATGGTAATTTCTTTTAAATAATTTTAAGTGATAAAGTAGACTGAGAAGTGGAAAGTTTTTCCTTCATCCTTATAGTTTGATCAAATAGATTTTTGATTGCTAATGAATGTTGGTGTATTACTAATAGTGCAGAGATCAAGAATGTTTGTGATGATCCATATATGATTCCATTACTTCATAAAAACACTGTGGACATATGGATCACATTGACTTTCGATTATAAATGAATACTAACTAAAATATATTCAGAATTGGGTGTCCAACATAGACTAGGATATTCTGTATTTGGAAGTAAAGCTGACATTTTCTTTGAAAAAGTAATTTTTATTAAGATTGATGATTGTAGCATAGGGAATTCATGGGGACCTTAGATAAGGTGGTTTAAAAACTACATCTGTATCTTCAGAGTACTCAGTATTCATGGCTTTAGACTTTACATTCTGTTGAGTTCTTTTAGCTTCCAAATCACCAGGATGATCTCTCCATTCTTATTCCACTCTCATAATAAGACCTGGTGAGCCAGCTTTCCTATCCTCCTTCATCTTCGCCTACAACACCATCAGTTGCTCATCAACTTCCGCTGAGATGGTGACAAATACTTTCTGTGCTCAGTACTTGTGTCAGTCAGGGCTCTGCACCGAGACAAGATCAGTAGGCTACAGGTGTAAATATGGGCACTGGAGGAGGAATGATCAGGGAGATGAGCTCATCAAAGCATGGAGGCTCAGCAATCCCACAGTATGTTGCCCATGTTGCCCGAAAGCTGGAGGAGCAGAGAAGCTAGTGTCATGGCATAACCCAGTCTGGAGGCTGAGCGCAATGGGTTGCAGGGGTAACTCGCAGGCAGAGGCTGAGCCAGTGGTGGCAGTTCCTGCAGTGTAGGGCTGAATGTGGAGAACCTGGAGCTCTGCAATCCAGGGCAGGAGATGATGAGAGTCTAGCCTCAGGAGAAGGTGGGAGAGAGTGGAGGGAGAGGAGGGAGGGAGAGTGGGGGAAAAGAGGGAGAAGAGAGAGAAAAGAAAAAGTAATTCTGGTTTTCTCCTGTCTTTTTGTTCCACTGAGGCCCTCAGCTGATTGGATGGTGCCCTCGCTGAATTCTGCTGGGCATGGGGTACACACCTGTAATTCCAGAGGCTCAGGAGCTTGAGGCAGGAGGATCACAAGTTTGAGGCCAACCTGGGCAACTTAGTAAGACCCTAGGTTCAATCACCAGTATCCCCGCTCCGCCCCGCAGAGCCAGTGATTTGGATGCTGGTGTCTTCTGGAAACACCTTCATAGATACCCAGAAATAAAGGTGTTTTTTTTTTGGTACTGGGGATCGAACTCGGGTCCTTCTGCTTGTGCAGCAGGTAGCGAAACCACTGAGCTAAATCCCTGGCCCTAGAAATAAAGTTTTGCTAGCTAATCTGGGTATCCCTTGACCAGTCAAATTGATACCTAAAATGAATCATCACTTGACTTACCTGTTCTGATCCTGGCTGCTCTTTCCTGCTACCCATAGGCAGTATATGTTTGTATTTATATAAAACTATCTTTATCCACCTAACTACTCGAAGGATACTGGGAAAAACCCTGAATAATAGTGCTTCTTCCTTAAGCCCGGGACCTCACCTCACCCCTAGACTTATAGGGCAACATCTTGGAGCTACTACTCAGCTGGATTGCAGGACAGCACAAACAAAATAGAAATAACTAAGTATGCTTAGAATATTAGAGCTGGAATGAACTCAAGATGTAATGTGACACAGCCTCTTGACATTGCAAAAGAGGCTCAGAGAACACAGAGGTTTTCCATCACGCCATCCTGACTCCCTGGTGCCTTATGTGCAAAAGTCAATAACCACATTTTTATTTATAGCACTAGAGTAACTTACCATGAAAAGTATAGGAAACAAAGAGTCATTCGGTCAGTGTGTCTTTTTCCTATGGGAAATTAATAAAAGCCACATCCTATCAGAAGAGTGTAGCTAAGCATGAGACTGTTTAATATGAGTTGTGTGATCTTCATGAGGATTCTTTCTAATATTGCCTCTCCTCGTGGTACTGATACACATGGTTGCAAGCATAAGGATGCTTTCTTGTCCTTAATCAGTTGGAACCTGCAGAAGCATCTGCCTCAGCCTAGCTCACCACATAGTCATTAGCATTGCCAAGAGCTGGGTGTGTGTTGGGGACAGCATGTCGTATGCATGGGGCAGTTGTAGCTGCTTTGGGATGGTGCCATGGTAACAGGCGTGATTCTCCTCCCATATGCAGATTGAGCAGGTGAGCCAGCTCTCCGCGCTTGTGCAAGCTCAGCTGGAGTACCACAAGCAGGCAGTGCAGATCCTGCAGCAGGTCACCGTCAGACTGGAGGAGAGGTAGGCGGCAGTCCCTGCACCTCTCACTTGCATTTTGTTGGTAGAAAATGATGTGTGAAGAAATGGAAATAGTACATTTGGAGAGAAACTTCTGCCAGAATTCCTGCTTACCCTACACAGACAATTTATGGGTTGTTTGCATTTTTTCTTGTGCTCTGTTTTACCTTGTTCTCTTGAATCTGGTCTTGTGTTTATGAGAGACTGCTGCTTGAATGGTATTGGCCGTCATAGTTGGGACACCAAGATGCTGCTGCTGCTGCTGCTGCTGATGATGATGATGATGATGAATGCAGTTTGTTGAGCAATTCTGTGTGAGGACTGGGTGCATAAGTCAGTTTTAAAGCAGCCATAAGGACTAAGTGTTCTTAGCCTCAACTAGCAGATGAGAAAACTGAAGCTCAGAGAGGGAAATAACTCACCCAGGGCCTCACATACTTGTGCATCTGGGGTTCACAATCAAGCACAAGCTACTTGAAAACCTGAAAAAGAACTTTTCACACTTTGTGTTTCTTTGAACAGTAAAGTCATCCACTATGAGAAAGAGCTGTTTTCATGGGCTGTTCTGCCTCCTTAGATGTGTCCTACAGCAAGCTATAGTGGTTTCTGTGTGAATGGGGTTGTGAAGAGCTCAGCTGTATGTAGCCACCCTGAATCGCAATACAGATGTTCCTTGACCAACTTGCAGCAGGGTTGTTCTCTTAACAAACCCCAAATCACAAAAGCATTTAATCTACCTAATGTATGGAATAAAGTAAGCTAGCAACATAGTACACTGTGGAATATTCACCACTTATACTTGTGAATACGTGGCTGACAGGTTTGTGGCTTAGTGGCACTGCCCAGCACAGTGAGAGTGTGTTGGGAATGCGTGCTTTAGGGGCTTTCAGATACACAGCTCCATCCGTCTGTCTGTCTCTTGTTCTTCCTTCCTCTTTTCTTTCCTTATTTCCTTTCCTTTCCTTTCCTTTCCTTTCCTTTCCTTTCCTTTCCTTTCCTTTCCTTTCCTTTCCTTTCCTTCCTTCCTTCCGCCCTTCCTCCCTCCCTCCCTCCCTCTCTCTGCCTCTCCCCCCGACTTTTTTTTTTTTTGTAATAGGGATTGAACATATGGCCTGCTGACAAAACTTCATCCCAGCCCATTGTTTGATTTTATTTCCAGAAGGGTCTCGCTAAGTTGCCCAGGCTGGGCTCAAAATTGTAATCTTCCTACCAGCCTCCTGGAGTACTGGGATTTCAGGTGTGAACCACCACACATGGCTTGGGCTGCATCTTGCTAAATGAGGAAAAGATCAAAATTTGATGTAGTTTTCACTGAAGTGCATACCTTTGCACTGTTGTAAATTTAAAAAATACTGAGCCACACTATCATGAGGGACTGTCTGTATGTGTTATGTAGGCAGATAGAACAGTATGATTGTGCTAAACACAAATACTTCACAGGATCACCCGGCAGACTTTTTTCTCAGATCACAGCCAGATAAGACTTTCAGAGCTGATCACATGGCTAAATGCACAGGGAAGACTCCTGTTATATTATGCTGCAGTGTTAGGAACATCACCTGTTTCCATTGTTCCCAGCTGATCAGCCTCAGTCTCCTCAGTCTTCTCTGATTGGTGCTTTGATTGTGTAATTTCCTTATGAAAATGTGCATAACACTGAAGCCTCTAGAATGATTCAAAGCTGTAGCCCTCAAAACACTAAAGATATACAGTAATACCTCAGTTCAGGAACTCTTCTATTTGCAAAAAGTTGGGTTTGCAACAAAAGCATTTGGCAAAATCTTGTTTCCATTCCACACCAGGTGACAAACATGACTGTGGCCTTCTTCCCCACACAAATAAACACAGCTGTCTTCCCCCAAATCATACAACAAATCAAGTTTGTAAGCCGAGGTACCACTGTGTATGTGCCTTTGTGACGTCCACATCCACTGAGCATAATGGGACCACATTCCTTTTAATTTGTGAAATGGATTCAAAGTCAGTACTATTCTACAGTCCACATACCCTTATCCCTTCCAAGCATTGCAAATTTCTGGTATATAAGAAATATAATACAATTTTTTTGTACTTTGCCTTGTAAACCCCTGAAACTCAGGACAATAATTTTGGTGTGCACAATGCACTTACTGGCCACAACTTTCCACTTTTGTCTCCCCCTATTCCTTCCCCCTCCCTGTATCTCAGATTGCTAACTATGCAGAGCACAGCATCTCTTCCTTTCCTCTTCCCCACTGTCTATGTGGAACCCTTTGCTTCTACTTTTTCTCCTGGAATTAGCTCCTTCCGATGTTTATCTGTTTCTGTAAACCCTCTCCAGCTTCCCCATGCAGAGGGCCTCCTCCCTGTCTCCGCTCCCCCGGGTTCCAACAGCACTTTGCAGATATCTCTGTTAGCACTTTCTGGAATTCATGGTCATAGGCTGTTATGCTCTGCCTCCTCTACAGACTGCTAGTTGCTTGATGGCAAGAACTCCGGCTTACTTCCCTTTGTGTTCCTGGCATTTATTTGCTCTGACTGCTCTGAATAAAGAGGGAGGAAGTGAGGGAAACAAGAATGAAGATGCTGAGCATGAGTCCAGAGCACACATATACAGACAAGAAAGCTCAGGCCCCTGGTCACACTTTCCAAACTGTCTTATGTTAGATTAGTGAGTGACCAAGCATTTCCTCAGTTTTATTATTTTCTTCTTATTTCCTACTTGCTTACATAATCTTCCCCCTCTTTCCTTTTTGATGCAGAATAAGACAGGCTTCATCACAGCCTAGGAGGGAATATCAGCCTAAACCAAGAATGAGCCTGGAGTTCCCCACTGGAGACAGCTCTCAGCCCAATGGGGGGCTCTCCCACACTGGCACACCCAAGCCTGGAGGTGAGGAGAGGCCTGGGGCGCACCACGGACACTTCTCCAGGGGTCTGGGTGCATTCCAGACCAGTGGCTTAAGAGATGTACATTGACACAGTTTTTGTGGGATGGTTGGTCAGGTAGAAGCTCTGGAGTCCGTTTCCTCTTCTCATTGACCTTTCCCATCCTGCACCCCAGCCTTTCTCTACAGAACAGTCTTTGTATGAACTTTTTCTCTCAGTCTTCAACTCAGCAGTCTCCTAGCTAACACATTTGCTTTTGACCCAACTTGGTGGTTATAAATCATCTTAACTCCTCAGGTGGTCTTGCTGTCTCTGCCCTCCTGTGAGTCAGCATGCACAAGAATGAGTGCCCCAAGCATTCGTGCCCACCTGGACCCCAACTCCTCCAAGACTGGAGCACCAGGAATGTGCAGAGCTGGATGTTTAGGTCACAGAAACATGGGGTTTCAGGGAGATTTCCTTTCCCACTCCCACCGCTCACTAGTTCATGGTTCAGTGGCACTAAGGTCAACATACTGAAAGGTAAAGTTTTTATTTTCCTTAGGAATATTGAGGCACATCCAATAATCCATTATTTCTATCCCCTCACAGACATCACATAAAAGCCTGTGCTTGAGATGTTTCCAATTCTAACAACACTTGCTTGGTTGAAGAAGGGGAATGGTCTTACACTGGATGTGGATTCACCCTATTGTCCTTGTGTCCCCCGTGCTAGATGTTTTGCAGTAGGAAGCGTTTTATTAACTGCTCTCGGGAGACTGTGAAGGAAAAGTGAGGTCTGAGCTGGCAGGTGGAGCTCCCTGTCCTCCCTGTCACCTCCTCTGTGCCCTGTACCCCCTTGTGTTGTGTGGTCAGCTGAAGCTTTGAAGTTAGCTGGCTGCTAGGACAGCCATGTACCTTCTGACCGTGTTGTGTTACTATCCTACATCTCATTCTAAACTCCTTAAATCACCTCTGGGCACTGTCAGGCCAGCAAGCCTTAATTAACTCTTTTGCAAATATCACAAGAATCGATGTGACCTTTTTTCACACTGGAAATAAAAACAGGAATATCCAACAACATCCAGATCTGAGGGAGCAACAGAAAACTTGTAGGAGGGCAAGATGCCTTCCAGTGGGTGCTAGAGTCTGCTAGCAAGAGGAAAATGTCAGAGGGAGGGGACCGGAGGAGGAAAGGAGGGGAGCAGCAGGCCAGTTGGGGGCAGCAGACAGTGGGTACTGTGCACTACATACTCCTTGTGCTTTTGTCTTCTCTCTGCCCTGACCCCCAGGAGCCCCAATGGATCAGCCCTGCTGCCGAGCTCTGTACGACTTTGAACCTGAGAATGAAGGGGAGCTGGGTTTTAAAGAGGGTGATGTCATCACACTCACGAACCAGATCGATGAGAACTGGTATGAGGGGATGCTCCACGGCCAGTCGGGCTTCTTCCCCATCAATTACGTAGAGATCCTGGTTGCCCTGCCCCATTAGGATGTTATGCTGGCTGGCTCACCTACTTCTGGCCCAGATAGCTAAGTTTAACCACTGCTTTGGTAATGCTGCTTACAACACACCTCGGTGCAGGCTGCAGTGGACCAAGCCATCGAGCCCCACTGTCTGGTTGGCTTGTGTGCTCCCACTGGAGAGTGGTGATGGGTGGTATCTTCCACGCTGGTGGCCTGGCATGTGCTTCACACCATCTGAGCCTAGCCAGTGGTCAGAACTGCTGTTTACATAGCTCTCAGGAGGCTGTGGTTCTTAGAATACGACCACGAGCCACACCACAGAACAACCATCCTACCGAAGATATTGTCTGTCACCCAGAGGCCGTAACAAAGGCTCAAGGTCTCCATTCACGGAGGAGGAAGTGCTTGGTTTCACATCGTCCCTTCCCAGATATGTGTCACAGAATCGTGAACGAAAGCCGCCCTCACCAGCAGTTCCCTTCATCTGAGTCAGTCTCTTGGTGCCAGCAGTAGACATGTAGTAATCGTGGAGTGAAAGCATTCTCTGGAAACAGTCACCTTGTTCACCCTTTATGCCTGTTTGTGAGGTACAGCCAGTTTTCTGCCCTCTGTGATGTTAAAGCCAGAGACGAGATTCTCATTTATTTCTAAATAAGACAGTTGGCAGTCAGCATATTATGGGGTAGACTGGAAGAAGAATCCTCCACTATGAGGAACTGGGGAGAGAGAGCTTGTTTCCAAGCTTGAATTTCTTGCTGTCCAGAAGCGCCGTGTATGCTTAGGCATTTTGAAGGGTACAGGGAAGGGGAAACAACCATCCCCTTGCAGTTTTATTTATGAATTGTGTTTCATGGATCTATTTGGCACAAAGAAACCAGGAGAAAATACTAGTAACCATTTTCCCACTACTTCATAGACCAAGAAACAGTAAATGTCTTTCCTTCCACTTTGACCTTGTGTTCCTGGAACATCATTTTGTGCATATTCTGCCCTCAATGAGGACCAAATGAAGGTGATTTTTGTGCTTAGCAGTTTAAGGTATGTGGCTGCAGATGCTCAACTTCTCAATTCAGTTGTTACTTTTGTACTTGTTCTTTCTATCCCACCTTCATTTTGTGTATACAGTGCTGTGTGTAAGCTTATCAGTGTTGGGTTTTTTCTATGTCATGAAAGCCCTGTTAGGTATCCAGAGTTCTATTTATCTAGCTGTACAGACTCTTCGAGAGGTCTAATGTGCTGCTTCCAATGTGCCACCTGCGGTAGTGGATCATGTGGAGTAAAAGGCAAATCTTACTGCTTAATGTATAAACTCACCACGGGAAGCATTACTGTTTCCAATAAATATTGCTGAGGACAAACTCAAAGGCTCTGCTTCTTCACTTTGTGTCAATTCTTTGGGTCTGAGAGTGGGTGGATTGAGGCTTGTTTCAGTCTCCATTACCTTCTATTTTTTTTGGATACAGGGTCTTGCTCTGTAATTCAGGCTGACCTTGAATTCATTATGTAGCCCAGGCTGGCCTCGAACTTGCAGCAGTCCTCCTGCCTCAGCCTCCCAAGTGCTGGGTTTATAGGCATGCGCTACCTCATCAGTCTCCATAAGCTTCTGATGCAACCAAACCAGATCTGGATCCAACAACCTCTGTCTGCCTCACTGCAAGTAGGGAAAAGAGCAAGGAGCAAGCTGGCCTGGGCACCATCAGCTTCGTGGTAACCCCAGGAAGGAGTGCAACTTGGGAGAGAGAAGTGAAAAAAGGATGACTTCTCCACATTAGAGGTGTCATCCATAATGACATCATCAAGAGAATGTAAGATTAGAAGGGGAGAATAACATCCATCGTGTTTATCAGTCTTTTTTCTCATGTATGAAGATAAAGAAATACATAGTGAAATATAGTCTGATCAAAAGCCAGCATTTTTTCCTTGATGTGTCATGTATATCAGAGTTGAGCGAGTGGGGAAAAAGCACACAAAATACGTATTTCCCAAGCTCCCAAGCAAATAAACTTGTTCTTCATGTATTAGGTGCCCTTTGATTTCTTTTATGCCAAAAACACTAGTCTAGACTTTCTAAGCTAACATGAAAAGTTTAGTGTAGAAAATCCTATATGTAAATTACTCTTAACAGAAAAATAATATTTTTTCTAACTGCATGAGTTCTAGAGTATTACAGATGAATTCTAAGTCATTGTTTGAAAAAAAGGAATGACATTATAAATGTAGAAAATCCAGAAGAATCCAAACTGTTGAAATCTATAAGCAAATTTAATAGAACTACTAGATATAAGATGAATACACAAAATTTGGTTTATTTCTGTATACCAATTAGAATAATTCACTTTTAAACAATATTTGCAAAATCATCAAAACGTCAAACTCTTAGATATAAATCTAGCAAGATTGTGCAAGATCTTTGCATAGAAAATAATGAAAAATGCTTGAGAAAAAATACAGACCTTAGCAAAGACATATTCTCTGCTTATGGATTAGAAAAGTCAACATTAAAAGACATTATTTCTAAATGGAAATAAAGTCTTTGTAAATAGGGAAGGGTGGAGGGTGTGAAGGGAGGGCTAGGAATGGGAAAAAAAATGAGAACCAAGATGCATTATGTAAAGGTACAATTCCCAATGAGAAATGTAATTGTGTTGTATACCTACAATGTACCAATAAAAGAATTTAATAAAAAAAAAAGACATTATTTCTCCTCAGATTTAGTTATTCAAAGATTCAGTGCAGTTTCAGCTCAAATCTCAGGAAAGCTTTTTTCTGTTTGAAAATTGTCAAATTTACTTTTCAAGCCTAATCATAAAGCATAGGTAGAAAAGTGCAGTGATATTTTTCTGTGAAGAACAAAGGATTTATTCTTTATAAATAAAGTATTCTAAAATAAAAGTAATAAAGGTAGTACGTGTTGATACACCAGAACAATGGCCCATAGACTCACTGTTGAGTTCAGCGAGAAACGTATACATATTTAACCACATTTGAAGCAGTAAAGCATCCCATTACCTTTAATGTGATGTATTCATCTCAGCTGCACCTATTTAAAACCCTAACAGGAAACTAACAGCTAGAGCTGCACACGTGGAATAATGTCATTGTGAGCCAGTGTCACATGAGACAGACCTGCCCTGAGCACAGACTGCAGGAAGAAAGCCTTTCAGGGAGTGTTTTGGAGATCGTTATAATACACTTACCAGACTCATAACTGATTGAATCCCTTATTTTTATTGAAGTATAGCAAATACCTTTTTTACAAAATCTTAAATATGGAAAAGACTGACAAGTCTGAGGACACCTGGCAGTTAAACTTACCTGAAAACTCACTCTTCAAAGTCTAATCACAAACTATCTGAAGTAGAAATGGAAGTTGAATTAAACCTAACTAAAATTGTCAATTCAGTGGAGGAATTACCTTTTCTTTTTGGTACCGGGGATCAAACTCAGGGCCTTGCACTTACCTATTTTTCCAATAGATTTGAAAGGCCTTAGAGTGAAAACTCTGGGAAAATGGGTTTTCTCCCAGTTTATCTTCACTGTAAAAAAGTAGAGAATAAGAATTAGATGACCAAAAAAGAAGATTTTCCCAGGACTGTGTGTAGTAAACAGTGTATATCCTGGAATGTACCTAGTCCTATTCTGCATGCATTGTTTGGGAAATGAGGATTATCTAAAGGCTGGAATTTCAAGACAGTTTCTGCATCATGTAGACACTTTCAAAGTCCATGTTTCATTAACTGATTAAGAGCTACTGCTCAACATACAGACTCTTTTAATCCTACACAGTGAAGTTTGAGGGAAGGGCTCTGTGCTGAAGAGGGAGGCTGTGGAGCTTCATCAGGAGCCTGGGTGGTGGCTCGTGAAGCCACACACCAGCATCTCCCAGGCCCAGCTCCTGAGGACCTGTCATGAGCCTTTAGGTTATGGGAACTGTCGGAGAAAAGAACAGTGCTATTTTAAGGGCCCTTTGAATGCTAACTGTATAAAGATCAAGCCCTTGAATGCCACTCACAACACAAATACCTTAATGGTGGTAACTTCCATTTGTGGCAGGAGAGAGCTGTGATTCTTGACAGGGGTGGAGCAAGTTGCCAACTTTGGAAAGAAAAGATGGAGAATAGCATGTCATTACCACTTGCTTGAAAAGCAGTGATTTTCAAGAGTGTGGGGAAAGGCCAGAGAATCCATCTTAAAAAACCTCTACCAGTGACTCATGTGCCTCTCTTAACAGAGCACTTGCCTCCTTAATGCTCTTGGAGATCAGAGATTAGGAAAGCACCCAGAGCAGTCGGGGGGCCAGCCCAGGGCATGGGTGCCGCAGTGGCTGTTAGTATCATTGAACACTTGCTGTCCCTGCCCTAGAGTCTCCTGAAGCTATGTGATAATAAGAGTCACCTGGGAACAATTGTACAGACTGAATTTCAAGGCTCTGTCCCACCTGCTCTGAATCAGAGTTGCTCTTATGAAGGCATAGGAAGTTGTACTTGCCATGAGAAAGGCTTAGGAGAAAACAGACAGTGCACCCAATGTGCTGCTGTGCATCAGAGTCACCTGGGTCTTGTTCAGACAGATGCCTGGGCCCCTCCCCAGATGTTCCAAGTCAGTGAGTCTGGTTTGAAGTCTGAGAGTTTGTATTTCTGTTAAGCTCTGTAATAGCAGTGCCAATCCCTAGACCACATTTGGAGTAGTACTGCTGTACCTGGTAAATTCCTTAGGCAGATCCAGCTGTTTGCTGGCACTTAGGACTGCCTGTGGTGTTCTGCCTGGTGAGAAAGTGTGGACCTGTTATTCAGGTGCTTTCCCCAATGAGTTGTTTTTGTGCTCATACAATGCACAGAACTTCCTCTGGAGAATAACAAGAGAAAATCCAGGCATGCTTCACAGAGTTTAGAAGTTCCACTACAGTTGTACTCTGGAGGCTGCTGGAACACATCGAGGGAGCCCAAGCCAATCTTAAAAAGTGTCTTCCCAAGAGACTCAGACTCAGCCAAGTTTGGGAAGTACTCGTCTGTATACAAATGTTTTAAATAAGGCAACTGCTCCCTGGCTTTTCATGTTTATTCTTTTGCTTTGACTGTTAAGACAGTGAAATTTATTGATTGATTTGGTGATGTTTGACACAGGTTTCCACCCTTGTTCAGGGGGATCTTGTAAATCCAGGACATCCAGTGTTTTTCCACCTTTACTGACAACAAAAGAAAGCTTGATATGAATCAGTGCTGACTTGGAATTTCCACCTTTGTCCTGGCCATTCCTTGATGATTTAGTGCTCACTCCATGTCTTTTTTATTTTTTTGTATTAAATTCTTTTATTGGTACATTGTACATATACAACACAATTACATTTCTCATTGGGAATTGTACCTTTACATAATGCATCTTGGTTCTTATTTTTTCCCCATTCCTAGCCCTCCCTTCACCCCTCCACCCTTCCCTATTTACAAAGACTTTATTTCCATTTTTTCCATTTCTCAGCATTTTTTCCTTTCCCTTCTTCCTTTCCCCTGTGCCTCCCACTACCCCTACCCCTTTGGACCTTTTATTCCTATTTAACATTATCGATGATTCATTCTAATAATTGGTACATTTTAGGTATACAATGTAATGACATTCATCATTGGAAATTTGCACCTTTACATAGTCTCTCTTGGTTCTTATTTTTCACCCTTGCCCAGCCCTCCCTTCAACCCCTCCAGTCCTCCCTATTTACAAAAATTTTATTCCTATTTTTCCATTTTCTCATATTAATCCCATTCCCTTCTATCCTTTCCCTTAGCCCTCCCACTTCCTTCCCCTTTGCCCCTTTTGTTCCTATTTCACATGACCTATTATACATTTAGTCCTTATTTACACTTTCAGTTTCTCACACCAGAGAAACTATTTGGTATTTATACATGTGTGTCCTATTTATTTCACTTAAGAGTATTGCCTCAATGTGCATCCACTTAGCTATAAATGTCTCTAATTTCTCATTTTTATGGCTGAGTAGTACTCCATTTTATAAAATGTGGTTTTTTTAATAAAATGGAGTACTACTCACTCCATGTCTTGTAAGGGAGCCAAAGACAGGGATGTCTAGAGCAGACCCAGACCCGCTCACAGGGAGGCTGGCACAGTGCGTGCTTTCCTTACTCCGAGCAGTGGGTCATATGCTTCCATTTGGAATCACAAAGGGCATTGGTAAAATGCTTTTCCTGGGTCCTAGCAGTGGGGAATCCAATTCAGAGCCCAATGCATGGATCTGCATGTTATACAAGCTCCCGCCCCACCCCGTATTCCTATGTGGGTGACTGTAGGGCTGTACTCTGAGGAGTACTGGTTCAGGCATAGGAATTGTTTGATTTGTGGCTACTAAGGAAGAGCC